GTGGCTGTGGGCTCGTTCACGTAAGTAAAATTTCACGCTCATTCGGATTTATAAAGGGAATGTGCGTAGATCTGTGCTTATGCACAGTTTTATGCATCTGGATTTTTTCTTGCTTACGCACATTCCTAGTTTTGTCCGTACGCCATGTTTTAGTGTGAATTCTATGCACGTTGTTATACATGAGGCCCCTGGGCTGCCTTGCATGGAGTGCAAGGCAAGCCTATTTGTTGATCCATGTGATGACTTACTGAGCATGTCTTGCTTCTCTCTTATGCAGCCCTAACCCGCCTTCTCTGTTCCTGTCCAGTTCTGTCCCGATCGTCCGCTCCCCTTGTGTGCCACGCCCCCTCATTAACCGCATGTGGATTCCCCGTGTTTACCAGCTGTTCCTGATTGTTGTCATTAGTCCATTGTATTTAGTCCGCGTTTCCGTTTGTTTCCCCAGTCCGGTCATTGATGTTATGTTGCATTGTAGCGTGCCTCGTCTACGATTAAACCCCGTTTTCCCTATCCCTGGATTCCTGCCTGTTTGTCTGTGCTCCGGGCGCGTACGCGCCGTAACAAAAGGACTTACTTCCCCGGCTGTACTGGCCTTATACACCGTGACCCTGACCAAGTTTCTGCCTGGCAATTCTGCGTGTTTGCCTCAGTTAAAATAATACACATGTTGCAAATTGTTTTTTTTTTATTTTACATAATAAAATAATGTATACACAAATACAATACAGTACAGTTAAATAAGAAATGTAAACAAACAATTTAAAAAATCTTACATTTTTTGTATGTACAACTTTTTCCTAGCAGAATGCTAATTTTTGCACTGTAACCAACAACAGTGTGCATGAATTTGGAAATCTTGGCTAAAACCCAGAGATGTATGCAAAGATATTTTAAAAATCTGAAGTGTAAAATATTTATTAAAATCTTTCCCTACATATTCTAGGTATGAGGTAATGTTTAAATTACCAGTAAAATAAATGACTACTAACTCTCTTCAAAACCACAGATAATTTCATTATCATACCATTACCATTGTAATTATAATTATTATACCTCTTAGGTTGTATACATCATACACAGTTTAAAAATTAAAAGTGCTCGGCAAAATATTTGTAGGACATATATATTATAAATTTGTTCATCCATCCATCGATCTTGTGGATGTAGCATCTGGAATTTTTTTTTATATACAAATATATATAAATATATAGTCATTTGTAATATGTGTACGTGTGTGTATATATATATATACACACACACACATGTACACATATATATGTGTTTGTCTGTGTGTGTATGTGGGTGTGTGTGTGTGTGTGTTTAGACAAATTATTCAGCTAAAAAACTTGCAGCAATGTTGAGTGTGAATTAGGCCACATCCTTCCTGGTCTGTCATGCCTCTGTGGAAGGTTTACTGCTGGGAAGTATTCTAAAGGGGAACAACAAGTATTCAGTTTCACAGGTCACACAAACTGCCTTCATAAATGCAACAAAGGAAAATAGCACCATATGATATGTGCAATATATTTAATGATATCCTCATGGGAATATGAATGAAATGGGTGCAAAAATATTTATAGTTTAAATTATACAATGTATTATATATCTATTTTTTCCCCGTACTTTATATACGTAGATGATTGCTGAACTTCTATGAATTTTATGCAATTTGTGACACTCAATATATGCAAACAATTTTGCGCAATATGACGTTTTTATTCCTTTCCGAGATAAACTGTTAAAATTAATGGTAGAAAGCCTTTAAATTAATACTAATCAATTTTTAGACATGTTAATGTAATTGTATTTTTTTATATTTCATATTTATATTTTAAATGTATTTTTATATTTTAATAAGCACATTTACAAATCATTGCTATAAAGTAAAGAATACGTATTTGAAGCGTGTCTCTTTTTGCAGAGCTCAGCTTTAGGTTTAGGGTGTCACTATCTGCACCTCTACCAGAATGGGCACCAACTCAAATTTGAAGGATAGTTATCACATTACCACACAGACACATGTGGTGAGAGCAATCTGAGCACATGATGATGAGGAGCAATTAAAGGCCTTGCTAAAGGTCTATAAGGAAAGTACTACTATACCAAACCATAAACAGTCAGTCATTCACAAACACACATGATAGACATTTATTCACAAAACACACAACCTCACCCTTATATTGCACAAAATATACGTTTCATGACACACATGAATGCAAGTATCAAATTCAATATTAAAACATCAGTGCATGAGGCATACCAAGTTTACACTACTTGCCAGTCTCATTGTGCATACCCAAACACGACAGACACACATCCAACTGGGCTACACTTACACAGTGGAGATTTCCCCGTTGACCTGCTCAAGACCCTTGTCTTTAGGTGCATTTCGCCCAAGAAGCTTGACCGCCAGGAACATCAGCACACCACAGTTGTTCGTATAGCAACAAGTGGCGTCCACAGCAACCAGCATCACCACAAAAATCAGCATGACAATGCCCACCATGCCTGCTTTTCCCATCCCAGACTTACTGGGTTTGACCACTGGGGAAGACAACAGCAAAAATGTATGTTGCCAGTAAATTCAAAAGTTGTTCAACAAAGCAAGCTCACAAAGACTGGTTTTATTTGAAAACAGGACCCCTGGGAGTCACTAATGCTGAATAAATGCTAAAAAACACAATGGAGGGATGTAAACATCCCAAAGGGGGACCACCTGTGTCTTATAACCAGTTATTCAGTTCTGTCTTCCATTACCCACAAAACAGTCCCTAACTGAGATGCCTGACCTCATTTTAATCGTTTGTAAACCGATGTTCATTTGGTTTGTCATGTTTTCTGTCATGTTTCTTTTGTTTTTTTGTGTTCCAACCATTTTGTTTAAAGCAACTCCACTCGGTCCCTCCTAGTCAATCCTAGTCTCAGGAAGACTTAACAACATGTCACAAAAATACTTGAATGATAGACATTTAGGAAGGTAAAGAGAAAGCAGCATTGATGTTCCATGTCTGTAATCCTTACAGGTAGCAAGCTGGGGGGTGGTAAAGTTAAAAAAAGTGGGTCTGGAAGTGCCAGTGGATTTGAAGGCAACAAGCTCCACAAGGTAGCTGGCGTTGTAACTGAGGTTAGCTAGGAGGATCCTGGTGGAATTGGCAGGAAGCGTTTCTGTTTTCCAGTCATCATTGACAGAGAGCTGAGGGAATGACATGCATTGAACATAAACAGCACAGCTAACATGAGTTAAAAAAAACTTTCCCTCTTTCAAAATATTACAATGTTTCATATATTTGAAATGAATTAATAATTTATCCTGATATCACTCTTTAATATCACAAGAATAATTTCAAATAGGTAACAACATTAAATCATTTTTAACTTTAAGATAGAACAATAGTACATATTCTTATTTCATGACCTGCATAATAGCAGAATGATAAATATTCAGGAATGCAGGAAATAGTATTAAATCTCACGACAATGTAAAATATGACAAAATAATCATGGATGTAATGTACTTACATTCCTGTACCGCACAGAATAGTGAATGATTGATATGTTGCTACTGTCAAGCTGCTTGAAATAGATGGAGAAGGAATTGTTTTCCACTTTGCCTTCGCTGGTTAATAAAATGGGGATTTCAGTCTCATCTGCAATAGCCGTATTATCATCTTGAGATTGGCATACATTCTCATGGATTATGTATCAGCAACACAAAATATGAAACAGCAAGATCTATAGCCATTCCCTGTGTAACCATTCTCAACTGCCTCAGCAACCACCTCAACTGTCTTTTACACAAGCTCTCCATTGCATTGTGCATAGACCACTACACTGCACAACCTAATACTAGAATCAGTGCTATCTCTAAAGGCTAGCCATCTTCTGCTGCAGCCAACAGAACAGGACAATGTCGGCAATGTCAAGGGTGAGTGCTGGAAGTAGGGAGAATGGTAGTTGCCATGTGTATGGCCACTAGATTAAAAATGCTAATCATTATTTTAAAACCACAAACGAAACCTATTACAAACTCGATAAAAAAATATAGTTTTGACCTCCTAAATTCAGCCAAACTAACAATATTTGTCTTAGAATTGAGAATAATATAGAAAATGAAACATATGCACCTGCCAAGGATATCTAGTTGCTCAGCTTGCAACAAGGATACAGTGAACTGGAACAAATTGAAACCAAGTGGAGAGGAGACGGATGGTTTTTGGCAAGACACTCACCATCGGGTAGTGTTTGTATGGAATACTCTGAGGAGAATTCCCCCTGGCCAATGCGGTTATGGGCGGCCATTCGAACAGAGTAGGAAGTGCTTGGCTTCAGAGAAGTGATGGATACAGTTTCTGAATATTGAACATACACCATGGAAATCAGTCAGATGACACTGTGGACCACAAGGTGATACAAAAGTCCTTGAGAATCCAGGATGCATAGAATAGCTGAAATAAGACTCCCACCTTCAAATGGGGCTAATGTCTGGGTCCATTCATCTGCACCCTCCTTTTTCCATTCTAAGATGTAGTTGGTGATTGATGATCCTCCATTTACTACAGGGACTGTTTGGGAAAATGTAACTGATGTGGTGCCTGCAGTGATAGTGATCGGAGCAGGGGTGTCTGGCCAAGCTGAAAAGGCAACATTCAGATGAATGGGAATGAAGATTATACGGACTGTAACAGAGCAATCTAAACACATCTAACCCAGAACCATGTGATGTGGGGAAAATGAGAAAAAAAAAACTTTACTCTATATATTCATCTTTTTAGGGGAAATGGGAGAAGAGGGGGAGAGGGAAAACTATACAAAGAAAACTATTAGTAAAAGAACAGAATTGAAAAAACATTACTGACTAAAAATTAATATGTCAATAACACTTAATAATTCACTTTTTTAAGAAGTTCTGAAACAGAATATATATGCAATTCAATTCAGTTTTTATAAACTGTCTTTTATAAATGGAAATGAAAAAAACTAGGTTGGACTAAAAAAAAATAAATGAAATATTGAATGTACACTTAATTTCAGAATACTGCTAAAATAAGGTCTTACTATCAGGGTATGCAAAGAGAGATCTTACTCTCTAAGCTGAAATCTTTGCTGTCATTCCCAGCGGTGTTGTGGGCCATGCAGGTGTACAAGCCTCCATCTGAGGGTTCCACCTTCTCAATTCGCAGTGTGGATCCCACAGCTTTGACCCGGCCACTGGTGGTGGTCTGAATTCATACCATTCCACACAGGTAGACACGAAATGAACACTAAAGTCACTGGTTCTATGGCCATGATGATGATTGAAAAATAAAATAAACATTGCCTCTTACCAGTTTCTCACCGGTGTTTTTCTTTATCCAGGTAATTGTGGGAGTTGGTCGTCCAGTAACTTGACAAGTCACAGAGGCAGGGTGTCCGGGCTTCACTTCCATATTCTCTGTTGTCAGGTTTATAGTAGGATGTACTAAAAAAAATGAGGGACAAATATATTTGATATTTAAAGCTAACGAATCTAACAGGTTTTTGGTGCATTCTACAGCTAACTGTTCACTTTTTCAAAGACTGAAATGCACATTAGGGTAGGAATGGGATATAAGTCAAACCAACACAATTATATCAATTATAGTGATTGAATGTGACTGAAAATAGGGCTAAGAGATTGGGAATTGGAGTGTTCATTCAGTGTTTGATGTGCGTTACCTAAGACATTTAGCTTGAAGCTGGCGTTTTGTGCTCCGATTTTATTTCTAGCTGTACATATGTACTCTCCATTGTCGCTGAAGTCCACAGAAGTGATGGTCAACTCGCTCTTGTCTGAATTGAATATGTAGTGGCTGGTGTTTGACAACATTGGGCTAAAAAAGGCAATTTTTTTTTATTAATAAGGACGACAAGAGTTATAAAGTTATAAATAGATGAGGAATGTACAATATCTCAGATTAATGTACGGTAAGGGGACATGCTATATCCTCCTGAGACCCCACCCATTCATTTATGTCCACTGTAGTGGACATGTTGTTTTTGCATCTATCTTTTCACTGATGTAAGGAAACATATTTATTCCTATTGTACACTAAAGAGGACATGCTGTGAAATTAAAAATAAAATTGAAAAATAAATTGTAAGATGTCTTATTTACTCCAAAGACAAATAACCTAAAATTGAAGGACACTTTTTTCCTTAGGTCTCAGGAGGATATATGTAAAAATGACACTGTGTTTCAACTAACAAAAATGTAAATAATCACATTAGACACATACTGCATGTGATCAGGGCGGGTTTGTTGTTTCTGGGGCCCCACTCACAGTCACTTTGATATTTCAAAAATGAAATAAATAGCTAGTGAGTACAGTCAGAAGATAGCACCTAGTTATCTTGTTAGCAGAACATGCTGCTTCAGCATGTGCTAAATAAGGAATGTGGTAATTTATTAGTGTAGTGACTGTTTCTGGCCAAACAGGGACCCCATGCAAATGTGTGTTTTGAGTAGTGGTAATTATACTATATATTACACTACTGTATGTAATTATAAAGATGTACCTCAGAATAATAATGCTAAAAAAACTGAGTCTGTAATATATAGCTTATGCACTCACCTAGACCAAGTTATGTTTGGAGTTGGTTCACCGGTCACCAAACAGACAATGGACACATTATTTTCAGGTCCTTCCAAAACATTTTTCTCACGTTCTTGAATCCGTACTTTCGGAGAAGCTAGAAGGAAAGACCATAAACAGCAGCAAATAAAACACTGTGTTCTGATTATAGCCTGTCCATTGGAGTAAAGATTGTGGATTATATTTTGGTTTTGATGATCTTTATTACTCTTCTGTACCAATCGGGATCTTTAGACTAATTCATTACAGTGTAGAACTAATGAAGAACACTCGCTTTGAAAAACTTTAAGAAACAATTGTAAAGTTTAGATTTATCATCACCACCAGCATCTACAGTAGCTCTAGACATGTTTAAATTAGCAAATTTGTTGCTTTTTAAAACAAACACAACAATACATCTGGAACCATAAAATGTTCTTTAAAGCAGACTATTCTCAGCTCACCGGTGACAACAACAGAGATGACAAGGGCTTCAGATATGGGGCGACCTGGAACTCTGGCCACACAACTGTAAGCTCCATGGTCTTCCCGTTGAACGCCATTGATTTGTAAGCTGCTGTTCTCCAGGACTTTTATTCGAGCTACAGGGTTCAAAAGTGTTGGAAATGTATGAATTATATAACCTGTCTACAATGATCATGGATTGCTAAAGGGACATCTTTGGTGGTGCTTAAGCAGGTCTCACTCATCCATTGCAACAGGCACAGAGCCACATAGTAAACTTACAGGTTTGAACCCCCCCAAAATTTGATTGCTCCCCAACAGGCATGTAGCCAGACAGTAAAATAATTAACTAGAACCCCCTCTAAATTTGCTGGACCCCCCTCAAATTTAATTTCTGGCTACAGGCCTGGATTTCAATGTGAAAGAATATGTTTGCAGACCTTAATAAATCAAGTTTATTTGTATAGCACATTTTCATATACAAAGGTCATTTAATGTGCTTTACAGAAAATGAGATAAAGTGCATAAAGTACAAACAGACATAAGTAAAAGCATAAGAATAAATATGAAAATTTAAAAAACATGAAACATATTAAAAATGACAAAGTGCTGGTCACATCAATTATGTGAAAGCAAGAGAGAATAAAACTTCAAAAATATTTTTCATCTTCACTGGTAGGAGGTTCCAACAACTGGGAGAGTAATGACTAAATACCATTTCACCCTGCGTTGTTTCAAAGTTGAAAGACCCACTTACCATCAGAGTCAGTGGTTACATTACTTTCAGCCATATTCTTTTTCCACTTCACTTCAACCTGTGGCTGCCCTGTCACAATACAGGGGACAACAGCCACATCTCCCTCCAAAAACTCATAGTAAGTTGCTGTTTTAACAAATGTGGGCCGCTCTGTATAAAAAAAAGAATTACTGGGTGAAGCTGATGATGGCAAAGAGGGGCTAAGCACATAAACACTGATACACTGCCAAATTAGCCAGATAACAACAATACCAACAACTAACGCCTCACACAATGCAGGGTTTGCAGTATGTTGGGAAACTTGGTTTAGGACCCTGCTTCAACAATTCAGAATAAAGCAAAAAAAATGTCTATTAGCAAGTAGAAAGCAGGAAATGAGGTGTTACAATAGCCTTACGGTAGACATAGATCATCAATTCTGTGCTGTTCTTCAGTCCAGAATCAAATTTACAGTTACAAGTGTAGCGGCCCATGTCATCCATTGTAGCAGATTTGATGGTCAGTTGATATAAAGTTTCGTCCAGTTTTTTACTTTCCACCCAATCTTCATCTATCTCCTCTTCATCCTTCAGCCATATACATTCTGCTTCAGTATTGACTGAAAAATGTCACCACAGTCACAATGACACAACTGGAAAGTAATGCTGTGCAAAACTGCAGAATTCACAAATGATATATGTTAAGGTGCTGAGACTACAACGAAGTATAAAATTTAAATTGTCTAAATTACACCTACCTCCATGAATAGTTGGTAAATGTATGGAAACAAGTAATTTATGAAAATAGATATGATTCTTATTTATAAGTCCTTCATAGATCGTATACTAATATTGTGTTTTCAGTCATTTTAAACTGAATGCTTTTAATTATAAATTTTAAAAATGTTAACATATAAACTTAAAATAATACTTCATAGATTACATAGAGCTTTTGTGTAAGTGAACTGATTTTGCAGTTTAAAAAATTAGTGATGTAACACTTTAACTGTGCAACAGAAATAAAGAAAAGATAACATTAATAATCATGATTGCAGTACAAAAAGTTATAAGCACCATTTTTAAAGTTACTGTGCATGGCATACACCAACCTTTACAGAGCAGTAGTATCTTACTTCCCACTTCATAGTCCTGGGAGGTAGCATGGATATCAATTTGGGCATCTGGGAGATATGGGGATATTCGTGTCTTACATACATGCTGCTTTTAATTTGAGAAGAACGTAAAAGAATTTGGCAAGGATTGCTTTTTTTATGTAAGACGTAAATGTATACAGTATTGTGCAAAAGTCTTATGCAGTCAAAAAATATATGTTTAAATGATTGGTGGTTTAAATCTGTCAAAGTTGGTGTAAATCTGTCAAAGTGTATCAGCTTACTCTCCCAAAGTCACCCCATGCATGCAATACATACTCTATTTCTTGACTTGACCACTAGTCCACCACTAGCACATCATATTTGGCTAATCAGTAACTCATTGAGATATTTAACTAAAAAATTAAGTAAGCAGGTGGTGAAATTTAATAAATACATAGAATAGCTTAGTTGCTCTGCAGAGAAGTTTGGGAACTGAAGCGGTGTTCAACTAGCCTTATCAAGACATCAGCAACCTTTTGTTGTTGTTAATATTTACTGTGTCACTATTTTGTATTGATTTATATATATTCTAATGTTAAACCCTGTCACAAGAAATATATACTTACTACCCAGATAAATTGCATTAAACATTTTTTTACTTGATTGCCAAAGACTTGCACAGTACTATATACACACACATTCACACGCAGAGTAATTCCCATTATATATTTCCAAAACCAATAAATAATATACTATATAATATTTTAAATAACTCACGTAAGTAGATTTACCTGTCAGTACTGGGGCTAGCAGTAACACGATGCATATTCCCCAAATCATTCTTGTTTCTCCTTTGGATTCTTTTGCTATTTGCTGCACTCAAGAATAATAAGGTTACTGGCTTGTGCCCTGTGCTTTTATAAGCAGAAAAGAGGGACGCAAAAGGCAGAGAGGAACTCAGTAATCTACAAAATCTCTGTACGTCCTTCCCCCAAAACAGCTCCCTCTCCAGCAGGTTTTTGGTTCAAATCACCCACCATGAAGATGACCACAAGAGGACACTCCCCTGGAAGGCACCCCCACATCCTACTAAGCAGATGAAAGTATCTTTACTCTCCTTTGGGACTAGGTCTGGGCTATTTATTTATTTATTTCTGCACGATTCATGTTTCTCCTGAAAGCTAGTTTCTTAGTGACTTTTCTTGGTGCCCATTGTGATAGACTAAACAACAGTTTTCAAATAAAGAAAAACATTTATAAATGAATATGTATTTGCTAATCATATAAAAATACGATCTGGGAAAATATAAAACCTCTTTCCGTGTTCCATTTTGCATAGACTGAATAAAATAATTAGTGATGTAAAGATATTGCCACCCCGTTCTCCTGCCTTTGATTTGTGCTTCAGACTCTCTGCTATGCTGTTCAGGAAAATCATATGGAAAATGCTGGATGGGACAGAGATTGACATTGCTCAGTCATTCAAGTCTTGCAATGTTGTGCTATTTTGGACATTCATTTTCATATTAAGATTGAACAATAGGATGTCAGTTTCCAAGCATTTTTTTTACTCGGTTACATCCATGATTTAGATCAGAGTATAGTTGGAAAACTAAAAGCTTTTTCAGAGTAGCTGTTCCAAGAACCATTTACATATCAGGGGGATCTTATCCAATTTCAGCTATAATTTTACTTATTATAACTGAAAAACATTTACTCTTTTAAACAAAATGATAAAATTGCTTATCATTTAAACTAGTACTTTCAACAATAATGACATTTCTTGTCCATGCACAATATGGGTTTTCTTATTAGGGAAATTTGCATTTTCTGACTATTTACAGAGCAACTGTTCTGCACAATCTGTTGTTCCACAATAAAATTTGCAGTATTAATTTAACATGGTGTAGCTTTAATGTGAAAACAATCACTATTGAAACAAAACTGGTAATTTTGTCGCGTGATGCAATACATTTCTATACCACTCTTTTAAGTGTATTAGTATTCTTACCATGTCACTTTTTGTTTATATCTTTAAACAGATATGTAGCCTTTTATTTGAATAAAATAAATTGCAGTATTCACTGTCAGGTTCATTAATTTCGCACAATGTTCTTGTCTTCAAGTCTGCTGCTAACAAAGGTTGTGATTTAACTATGAATTCACCAAGGCAGCAGAATATTTTGAATTATCCTGTGTACAACAGCTTTTGTGAGGGACTCAGAAGTATCATTTTCTATGCTTTAAAAACTATATGCAGATATTTGAATTTTAATACTTGCAAAATAATCAATATTTAAGCAGAAATGCACTCAGCAGGACTTATTTTATTCACCGTGTCTTGTTTGTTTGTTTGTCTTTTAATCTTTATTTTTATGGTATTACTGGAGCATTCTGTAAATAAATATTAGTTCCTATTACTCCAAATACACACTTCATACATTCATACCACAACCAAACGTACCACTAGTTTGATTTTATGAACTATTGAGCAATCATTTAAAACACAAAATGGTAGTGATATTATTTTTATATTGTACCTTTCACAACAAATAATCAAACAAATATAACTTTCTGAGAAAAAGCACTTTTAAGTAGCAGTAGCAAAAAGGGCAAAAAAAAAGAAAATCAAAAGAAAATGGAGGAAAACCTCAGTTTCATAAATGCATGTATTTATTTCTCCATAGCTTGAAGGGTTAGAAAGCACTGAAAATTTTCAGAAGCACATCCTATACAAGGAGTTAATATGAGGATTAAACAACAAATGTGCAATGTGAAAACACCAAGGTTGCAAGCTAATTCAATGAGCCGTCAGTATTTAGTCGAGGAATTTGGACTGAGTGTGTGTGTGTGTGTGTATATACTGTATATATATATATATATATTAGTGCTGGGCAACGATTAAAATCTTTAATCGTGATTAATTGCATGATTTGTCTGATTAATCGTGATTAATTGCAATGTTATGCGCAAAATTTAATAATGAATTCAAAAGTAGTGTTTTGTGCACTTTATTTTAACCCTCTGGTGTCGGCGGTCCCGCCTGACAGAAATTTCGCCAAATCATTTAAATAACACTGCGAGTTTTTGTCATATA